AACATTTTTCAAAAAAGCAAATCGGTGAAATACCAGTCTCTACAGACCTGTAGATTTTCCCATACGGACTTCTTTGATCTTAAGGTTTAGGAATAATTTGTGGAAAATGCAGGATCGTGGGAAGCCGCTGATGACGTTTCAGTTAAGAAGGAATTTCAGCAGAATAAAGATTTTGCAGGAAACTCTATTCAATTCTACTTTGAACGACAAAGTCACACTCAAGATAGAACTATGGATCTGGAAATAGAGATGGTTCTAGATAAAAGTGAAAATTTCGGAAGAAGAACACAAAACGTCGGACGACGTCTTGGGGAGATTGAAGCATGAGTGTAACTCAACCATAATGACCAGATGCGAGCTGTTTGCTAAAGTACATTTAAAAAAGACTCAACAGAAAATAGAAACATTCGATCTTTTTACAAAATGGTCGTAACTGACAATATTATAGACGGATTTTTGTATGTGTGCGTGTTGAACAATAATTTTCAAAACAGAGTTCATGAAGCGATAAGAGATGATTAACAGATCTAATTCAGTCGAGGGTCAAGCGAGTCAAAGCAACGAGCGTTACTTGTCTGAAATATGTGACAAAACGAGATGGAAATAGTAAATAGATAGAAGTACGAATTTAACCATCAATAACAGCCAGTTTTAGTTTCGAATAGCAAAATTAACTTAAAGTTTCTAGTGTTATTTTTATAGTGAAGCAGCAAACTCTCTTATATATAGTGAAACAACAATAATTAAACCAAAAAAAAAACAAAATAGTAAATTAATTAATTTACTTTCAACAGATGATCAATTGACTAGATTCATTTTTTTAACTTATAAAAAGAAACATCGTTATCAAGTGGTTATGGTGATACTTCGTTCTATATTCTTGAATTTCGTGATGTTCTTAAAGCTAATTGGATTATACTGCAAAAATATATTTTATCAAATCAATATAATCTTCTTGTAAAACTTAATTTAAGGTTCAAATTATGACTGTTGCATTTGTGAATTAAAAATTCAGATAACTTTTAAAATGGGATCAGAGAATAAACAGTGTGTATATAATTCGATCAATCAATCTCAAAGATTTTCATAAAAGAAAAAGACCTATTTTTTTCGTTTTATTAACAAAACTGTGTTATTGAAGTCGGAAAAGTTAAAGGATCAATCAGTAACTTTAATATGATTATTAGCTATAGCATCATTATAAGACAAAACTGGTGTTATATCAGATAATATGTTTGAAGTATGAGATTCAGAAGATTATTGATGAAATAAATTAGAAAAACAAGATGCATACAACAGCAGCATATACAAGAATAGATTTTACAATACAATTTATCGCTTAATTGTATTTATGGAACCATTAGATACACAAGAAGCATTAACAATAACGTAGAATAGTTAATAGTTAATTGAGGTGCAATTTCATCAAATAAAAAATTAATTCTACTTGATTTTGGCCTTTGCTGCATCTTATAGGTATTTCCTTTTTTTTCTTATTATTTCATTTTAACTTATTTTCGTAATATTAGAATCATCTAGTTCAGCAGCAATTCCATTTTTTCACTTGTTTTGGTTGAATATGAACTGCGTAATTCTTGGTATTCTGCGGATCAATTCCTATTCATTGTGGAATCCTTTTTAAATCAAAAACTTAAAATAATGTTTTCTATTAATGATGACATGGAATCATATTATATTTTGAAATATTGATTTGTCAACGATGTATTTGGGTGTGAGTGTGCTGCAAAAAGAATAAATACATATATATTCACATCCACAAGACGAAATTTTTTACAAAAAACCTGAAAAATAAACATGTATATTAACGAAAACGTTGTAGCATAGCAATATATTGATTGTCGATGAAACGAATGAAAATGATCATTTCATCAATTATGTTTTCAGTTTGTCTTCGATAATCAATCTTTTAATTGATGCAGAAAAGCATTGCAATAGCACTGATTCAATATTTATCAAATATCATCATTGACCCACATTTCATGTTCAAAACATATATAAGAAAAGATTTTCTTGTACGAAAAAATTGAGTAACTATCAGTGATAAGACCCGTCGGCTCTTGTCTGTTCTATGCTGCTTTTCTCGCTCTTTTTTCTCTCTCTATCTTTGTTACAAGAATCTAAGATTTGATATCTTGATTCTGGTGAGAAATGAGCTCCTCAAATGGGCACTCCTTCAATGTGTCGGAACAGCAGAAAACAGTTTATTTGATTGATGAAAATCCTGGTTTGTATTCAATGGCAAATAACAATGAAGTATCAGAAAAACAGCAAATTGTCTATATCAAGACACCATTGCTATATCAGCCTGTCAATCTATCTCAGTCTTATGTATGTTTTCAACCTACACGAAATAGTCCAATCGTTAATCAATATTCGACAATTAATCCAGTTCCTCAATATCAACTGAATCAGCAACAATTGCCATCAGGGTGTGGATGTGAGTGTGGGTGTGTGGGTGGGTGTGGATGTGGATGTGAATGAAGAGAAGACTCACCCACACCCACCCACACCCCCCCCCCCCCCCCCCCCCTCCCCCCCCCCACCTCGGCCCCCACCCCCCCCCCCCCCCCCCCCCCCCCNCCACTCCCACCCACAGCCACACCCACACCCACACCCTCAAAAAGGTTTCGTAGAAACTTCGGTTGCCTGAAAATAATCGTCATAGACTTAGAATACTTTTTCAAGTGTTTGATAGTTCTATCTATGAAACTTAAAAGGGTTCAGAGAATTGAAACGAAATAGAAATCCTTTTAGGTTCCGTATTATGCACGAAACCTTTTTTTAGTCCAAAATACCCTTTTGGGTTCGGTGTCATACCGTTTTTTTTCAGTGCACTCAAACCCACACCCCACATCCACACCCACACCCTGTTTCTCAATTTCATAAAGAAAATTGCAGAACCTCGGCAATTGAAAGAATTCAATGAAGCTAAGTTGTCTGGAAACTGCAAGAAACTTATGAATTTAATGAATTCCATAACAAAGAAGAGAATCTAACAATTCCTGAAAGCCTAGAAAACACAAGAATTTTCAAGAAATACAGAAAACGGAAAGAAACAGAGGTGCAGAAAATTTGGAAGGGGTTTAAAGAGTACAAACTATGATAGGATTCAAATAAAATCAAGAACTTGAAAAGTTTTCGAAAACCAAAGAAAGTTGAAGTTTCAGAAACATGAAATATGTCTTTCGAACAGAGAGCCTTAGATGTGTACAGATGAAGATGAAGAGAAGTGTCTTAAAAACATTCACAATGGAACAAAAAAAGAATTGTTGATAGGTGAAGAAACATCCTATTCTGAATAGTGTGAGAACAGACTTAGAATCGATATCTTCGATTAACGAGGGAAGAAGATTACTCTTTACCAAAAACTAAAAAGAAGTTCTCTAACATCTATTTTAGTCAGTACTATGAGTTAAATGGTTCAAAAAGATGTTCGATAACATTGGAGCATTTGACTTTGAGAGTTTTTGCATTCAGGTGAAGATGAGAGTGAGAAGACGCTTAGAATAAAGTGTATTCTCACAAAATGAAGAGGAAGATGGATTTGATTTTATTGCTGTCAAGAAAACAAACCAAAGTTCGATAATGACGACAATTAACTAACGTAGAGATTACTATTACCTGGTTGTTACTTATGATAAATATTGAATCATTCATGATATCAATTCATTTATCTTATCAATTTAATCTTTAGTTGGTGGTAGAGTAATACTATATAGAAAGCTACTCTGACTTGGTTAAAAAGTAGCATTTAAAAAGACGAAAAACGTTAATACAATGCTTACATAGTTTTTGTGTAGTGGTAGCACTTGTAATCGTAGTTGTGGTTGTAGTTGCTGTTGCATTTGTAATTGTACCTGTCGTTGTACTATTCATCGCTATTCATTATCATAGAAAATTTTGTTTATAAAAATCAGATATTTTAGATTTGATATGTCTTGCGTATCTAATCTATCATGCAAAACGTCTGCATTCATTAGAGAATGAAGAGTCAGTAAAATTTTTGATAATTCAATGCGATGTGATTCGATTAAATCAAATCAAAGCGAATTGAATTGAATTTTACTGAGTCCATCGAGAATATCCAATACTCTGCTGTTATATCAACAGTGTGAATGAAATGAATTTCAAAGTATGTTTGAAAGAAGATAATAATAGTGTAATGATAAAATATTACGAACTCTCTCTTTGTCATTCATCTCGCCATTAGATTGTCTGAATTCCTATATTCTCCTTACCCAGAAAAAATTCTCGAAACTTTGACACACTGAGGCACGATCTGCAAAAGAAGTAGCCGTGCCATAAATGACTCAGCAATGTGGATTCTTCACTCACAGGTGTTTTAAAGAGATGCTAAGTCAGTAGAAGGCTACTTAGCAAAACTCAATATTCACTAGAATCAGTGTAGTATACAAAGAAACCTGTGAATAAAGATAGGTATGATATATTAGAATTAATTTGTTTTGATGGGAATGCTAACATATGGCACGTTCTAAAGAATCTAATCACATAGATTGATCAATCACTCAATTTTTTCTTTGGTTCCTCATACGCCCTTAAAGGTTTACGGCATATTGATGCGCTGCGAGATAGGATGAGGTGTGAGTGTGGGCGTGTATGATGGATGTGAGTGTAGATGTGGATATGGGTGAGTATGGATGGGCTTTAATTCTCTTCGTACCCACTCCACAAATCCACACCCACACCCAAATCCACACCCACACACAGACACCACACACGCCCACCCCACCCACCCTCTGTTCACGAAGAGGTATCAGTGACTAGAATAGTCAATATGTCTATGCTTTATTCATAATAATCTCTCAAGTTCCTAATCTCTTCGTTCAGTTCCTATGAGTATAATGGATAAGATGAAGGAGAGATGATATTGATATTTTTTTATTAGAGCACAACTTTAATTGTCCTCTAAACAAAGTTTTTTTTTCATAGATACTTAAAATTTTTTCGCATAATTTTCATTATGGGCATGACTGACTACAATCAGTATCTTTTGGTAAGTCAAAAAGATGTGGATCTTGTGGACTAATTTGCCAAACATCATAATCAGTAAATTGATAAGGTGCTTTTAAATTAGGTCCCGAAAAGCGTACACCATTTCTTGGTTCATTAACTTCACTCCAATATTCACGTCCAAATGTATACCAATGATCAACAGTTCTGCCATGTATTTGTTCTATTCCAAGCCATGCTGCACCTTGAAGCCAATTAATAGATACGCCATAATTTCCTTGCTTAGCTATGCAACAAAGATTATGAGCCACAACATAAATATTGTCTCTAAACAACATGGTGCAACTTGATTGATTTACAGCCCAACCATAACAATAACCAAAATGATCATGTCGTTCTTGAACATAT